CTGAGGAGGTGACATTTGAATGGGGACCTGAGTGACAATCAGCCAGACACTAATGAAAATGGGGAAGAGTGTAGTTCCAACAGAGGGGACAGCGAGTGCAAAGCCTTGAGGCAGGGCACACCTTGGCATGTGTCAGGAACACAAGGAGGCCACATGGCTAGCATGTAGTGGCTGAGGGGGCAGTGATAGGAGACAGGGCTAGAGAGGTCACTTATGGACACCAGCTGTCAGTAAGACACAACCCTAGTCTCCTGGCACTTACCTTCCCATTCGTGCCGACTGCCTGCTTCTTGACTGTGATACTTCCCTCTTCTTCTCTGAATCTTCCCTACCCCTCAAGACCAGGCCTGCCCAGGTCCTCCGAGAAACTTCCCTGACTCTCCCAGCTCTTAGACATGGGAACACCCGCTATGTATTTGGAAGTGGGCTGCTATGTCCATTCTCTTTACTCCTAAGCCAGTATTTCTCAAAATATGGTCTTCAGACCATGTGCATCACAGTCCTGTAAAATGATCCTAAGTTTTAAAGGTATTTTTAATGAAATTTTTAAGTTATAACAAAAAGAATAATATATAGTCTTATACTCACTGTCTGCTTTTATGAACTTTACTGTTTGTCCATATTTGCTTCAGTTCTGTTTTTTTAAGAAATAAAACTCATTACAAATACAGCTGAAGCCTGAGTGCTTGTCCAAAGGGAAGATTCTAGGGCCCCAACCTAGATCTAGTCAATCAGAATCTCTGAAAGTAAAGATGAAAATGTGTATTTTTAACAATCCATCCTCCCTCTTCTTCCATCCCCTACCATGATTCCCAAGCACAGTGAGGATTGACAATTACTGATATATAGCAGTTAAAAATCTGCCCCATCTAAGCAGTTTCCTGTTGTCTTTATAGCTAATCTGGGGTGGTTGTCTTTGCTATATATCAGAATCACCTGGAGAACTTTTAGAAATGCAGGTGCCCAGGCTCCTCCCTAACCTTGTAAATCAGACTGGGGCAAGGATGGCAGGCAACTTCCTTAATCAAAACCTCCAAGGTGGGTTTTTGATGGTAGCAGGGGTTGGGTGGGGGAGGGGCAGGAATTGGGGAGAAACTATCTCCCTTCTGTTTTAAACACTCCAGGGATCATCAAAATCAGGATTCAGATATCCTTCCATTTGCTGTCTCCCAGAATAATGTCAGTAAGCACTTCCGTGCCCCAGCTGAGTGCTGGGCAGAGCTACAAGCAAAAGACATTGATCAGGCATGACGGGGAAGAAGGCCTCAAAGCTGAGACATTAACTCAGCGGATGGAGTTGGAGGTAGCGAGTTCCCAGGTTTATCAAAAAAAAACAAACAAATAACAACAACAACGAAATGGGACACTTGGCTAAACCTGAATTTCAGATACCTAATGAAAATAGAAGTATGTCCTAAACATTGCATGGGACATATTTACACTAAAAAAATTATTTGGTGTTTATCTGAAATTCAAATTTAACTGCAGGTCCTGTGTTTTATCTGGCAGCCCTACCTGAGGGAGTATCTTCCATTCCTGTGAACCTCAGTTTCTGGCTGGCTAGGGGACGTCTACGTGTCCTTACCGCTCGCGTGTGCCGGCAGCCCGAGCAGACGCATCATGTCCGCAGCTCTGGGAGCCTTTCTCCCCAGCCTCACCAGGGGGCGCTCTGACCCTGCTCAGCCGTCCTGCGGTCTGCGGCGGGGAGAAGGCGGGCAGCTAGGTCCCTCTGGCTCTGGGGGGCCGTCTGGAAACCAGGTTGTGATGCCTGAATAGCCGCAGGTCCTTACTCATCCCTAGGACCACCTGTCCAGGAGAGAAGGGGAGGCCTCATGGAGTCTCTGAAGATAGGACCATCTCATCCAGCTCCCCTCACCGCTGCTTAGCAGGGAGACAGGAGCTCAAAGGGGAAGGCACTTGTCCAGGCTTACATTGCTGCCCTGGCAACTAGGCTCCTGACCCCGTGTCCAGGGACCCTTTCCCTCCTAGGGTGCCCTTATTTCCCCATTTCCTGCGGGACATATTTAACCCCTGCAGTCCTGAGGCCAAAACCAATACCAGGCAGCTGGGCACAGCTCCCAGAGCTGAGAGCCTCTGAGTCTCCCACAGGCGGGGCGTGACCTTGAAGCCGGGGGAGACTCACACCTGAGAGAGGGCCAGGGATAAAGGGCCGCCTGGGAGCGGGGGAGAGCAGGTCCCTCCCATTTAAGTTGGGAATATTCGGGTTTTTTTAAAATTATTATTATTGTTATTATGGGCTTCTTCAATGTCAGACACAATGACAGTGAGGCAGGGACCGCTGCCATCAGGACCTTACAAAAGCAAACAAGCTCGCTGTTCGGCCATTGAACTAAAAGGGCTCCATCCAGTTTTGTAGCAGGTGTTGGGAAGGAGGGAGGCTCTGTCACCAGGGACCTAGCTGGTCTCCAGAAGCTGTGTGCCAAGCACACACCCACCTCCTGATAAAGAGGAATTGCTGAAAGGTAGGGATACCCACCACTTTGGCCCAGGGGACGATTTTAAGAGAGTTACAGATTTGGTGTTCATTAACATTGAATTAATTATAATTCAGTTCTCTTTTAGACCTTCTGTTATCAAGGAGAAAGTCTTTTAGATTTCTTCTTTTAATAATAAACAACATCCTTCAAGCACAGGCTATATTCATAATTGCATAACATTGTTTTTTCATGGTATTTATATTTTATTGTATTTATCTTTAAGTTTTATTTCTAGGTATGGTAAATGGTACTGATTTTACACCTAAGGTCATGAAATAATTTCCTTTAAATCTTAAGGTTTTTGTTTGTTTGTTTGTTTAAAGTGATCTGTTTTAAAAGGAAGGAAAGCACAGATAGGAGAAGGCTATGGAAACACTGCCTTTAAGAATTCAGGATTCTGAGGGCCCCTGACCAGTCTTGCTGCAGCCGGCAGGGCGTGTAGCCCTCCCTGGGCCCTGGGCTGACTCATGCCTCTCTTTGATGGTGTTCTTTCCTTAAGATGCTCCCATGGGGAGACATTTCAGATATGGGGGGAAAGGCTCTGGATTTCAGATCCTCTTTTGTATTGTCTCATCACATGGCCAAGTCACTCAACCTCCCTGAACCTCAGTTTCCTCACCTGTAAATTGGTGGCAGGTATATTGTAATAGTGGGTGCTGTGCAACTCCCAGATGGTCTGCCTGGTGCTAACCAGGGCATGAGGCCTGCATCCTACAGCCCTCAGGTCCAACGTCACGTCTCCCTCCCACCCGAAGGGACAGACACCCCATCCAAGCCGTGCTTTATCCCAGCTCTCTGCTTTATTTCCTTACAGCACATGTGCCTACGTGAAGTGGTATTACCTGTTAACTTGTGCCATGTTTGCCCAGCTAGAATAAGAGCTCCAGGGCAGCAGGCACTAGACCCGCCTCACTGCTGAGAACATAGGACAGGCCTAGCACCTGGCAGGCACCGATAAGCATCTTGGATTGAATGTGAATGAGCAAATACTGGAGTTTCCTTTAATCCATCCCTCTGCTTGGATTCTTAGAGATTATGAGACTAATGCTGGGCTTGCATTCCTCAACTGGCCAGTTCTCAACTGACCGATCTCTCTCTCCTATTGTGCAGAAAAGAGAACACCGGAATAATACAGTTTGATTTTTTTGTTTGTTTGTCTTATTTTACTAAAATTGAAAATAATTTAAAATAAGAGAGGAAAAAAAAACTCTGGGCTTGGCATCTGAAGACCCAGCTCTGTGGGCCACTGAAATGGAATATCCTTCTTGGGCCTATTTCTCCGTCTCCAAGGGGAGCCTTGGAATACCAGCCTTATCACACTGGCACGATCAACATGCCTGAGCTTTGAAAAGAGCTCTGTGAACTTATGATGCCTTTAATCTCTCCACAACCACAGTGTTCTCTTTAAAGCAAATCCAATTCTCTCTCTCTCTCTCTCTCTCTGGTTTAAAACCTTCCATTGACTTCCCACTGCACCAAAAGTAAAATCCAAACTCCTTTCCATGTCCGTGAGGCTGCACGGCCTGGCCGCTGCCCACCTCTTCAGCTTCATCTGATATGACCTGCCCCCTTTTGTCCACCAGCTGTGCTGGCTTGGGACTCGGTTTGCTCCTCGTTTACCTCAAGGCCTTTGCATGAGCTGTTCCCTCTGCCTGGAATGCTCTTTCCCTGCCCTACCTCCTCCCTCTCCCCACCTCCCATGCTTAATTCCTTCTTTTCCTTTGTGACTCAGTTCACATTTTCTCAAAGAAACCCTAGAACAGCCCTATCTGACAGAACTTCCTGCACTGATGAAAATGTTCTATATCTACCCTGTTCAATAGGGTTACCTCTAGCCACATGTGGCTACCGAGCACTTGAAAAGTAAGGAATAGAATTTTTTATTTTAATTCATTTAAGTTTAACTCTAAACAGGCATGTATGGGTAGTAACTACCATGTGGGACAGTGTAACTCTAGAATAATGCTGTGTCCTCCTCTTACACACACTCGTGGTTTCTTATACTCTTCCTTCACTGCACCTATCCCTTCCTGGAGTTTATATTTAGTTGTGCAATTGTCTAATTTATTCCCCGAGACTATATATTCCCCGAGACTATAGTTCCAGAAGAACTGCTGTGTTTGCTTTGCCAGAGTTGTGTCTCCAGCACCTAGCATGGAACCTTCTATAGTAGATATATCATAAACATTTGTTGAATAAATGGGTGAATTAGTGAAAGGAAAAAGATACTTAGCCTGGTGCTTCTGATAATGAAGTGCAATAAAAGAAAAGGGTCAGCCCACAGGGCATAAAATTAAAAGTAAGCTAATTGATGTTTATAGGAACTATACATTCTCCCTGTGCATAAAGAAGCCTGTATGTGCAGGTGTATGTACAAAAGCACAGGAGAGTGTTGGTGAAACTTTGCAATTGTGGAGTCGTGTGCAGACACATATCCTTGTGTCTACATGTCAGAGTAATGAGGTGACTAAGACTAAGACCATGCAAAAGCACTCAAGAAGGCAGTTTCTAAGTCGTTACTTTTTATTTTGAAAGATTTGTCAAACTCTCCACATCATGGTGAGAGTTTGCATGATTAATAAGAAGCAGCTTTTTCATGAAATGCTTGGAGGTGAACAAGTTCTCAGCCTGTGAGATCCGACCATCCCATTGACTTTGAAGTTTCTCTTGATTAATAGAAGGGAAAAAAGGGGGAGAGGGGGAGAAAAGAAGGGCCGTGCTGGAAACCAAGGCAAAGGCCCCTTATGACAGCCACCTGAACATGAAAAAGCAGAAACAAAACCAATCCACCAACTCCACTTTGGCTATTTTACAACTTCCAATGCCTCACTCTTGATTTTGACCTTCCTGGCTGAAAGCGCCTCGCAGTCCTGTGTCTCCCAAACACAGGTAGGCAGGGAGAAGCCTTGGGGAATGTGCTGGCCCACCCCCCAGAGCCTTGGTGGCTTCCAGAGAAGCGATGGCTCACACCTCCCAAAAGGCTGAGCAACTAGCCTAACGTGAAAAGAGATGGCACTGGAAGGTGAGGGGGGAAAGGGCGAGGCTCAGGGTTCATGTGAGGTTTGTATACTGTTGTGACAGGGACTCAGCTTCTGTCTGTCAGTCACAGCAAACAAGGCCTGCGATCTACCTTCCTGGTGGGTCTCAGGGATTTCTCCCACCCCTGGCCCTTCAGTCTCAGAAACACCCTTGCCAACATCACGTGTGTTACTTCCCTTTGCCCACCTTCAAGCCAAAGGGGGAAGAGCCCCTGGCAGCCAATACCCTGAAATAAAATTGACACAAAGTCTAACTCAGTGAGTATTAGTTTCAGAGAAACAGAAGGCCTGAAGATGCACTGGGTGTTGAAGGCAGATGAACAGCTGAGAGCTTCCACCCATAAGCCACCAGGACAGCGCGCAGTGCCGCAAATGGCGGGGAAAACAGGGCTGTCAGGGGGTAAGCGAGAGGCCTCAAGGGCCGAGATAAAACTAAGAATGTCATGACTTGGGTTACAATTTCCATTTTAGCACCGTTAGTGTATTCATTTAAACCTATGTTAGCACCTTGTCCCCAGGCAGAACAACAAACCATCCAAACATTTTAAACATTGGGGGAAACAGGAAGGGGAAGGTCAGAGAGAGAGAATCCGGTACTGTAGAAGGAGGCATGGGTTTAGATCACGAGATCCTTGTCAATATCCTCTGAAAAGCAAGAAAAGAGAGCAGAGTTAGACACAAGGCTCTGTGCAGATTAAGACATGCTTCACAAGGAGCTGGTGCCTCCCACCCACCCCCAGGACCGGAGACCAGTCCAAGGTCATCTGGAAGTTGGTGACTGAGTACTTTGGTCTCCCTGTCCCTGGTCTGTCCCTGTCACGTACACATGTTGCCAAATCACACTTCCTGTTTCCTCTCTAGGTGCCTGCCAGTTCCAAAATAGTGCTAGGCACAGGGTGAGAACTAACGCTTGAGGAAGGGAAAAAGAGACAGCTGGATGTCCAGAGAAGGATAAGGAAAATGCCTGAGAAGGCAAAGCCCACATAGACCCGGAGAGCACAGGTGCTCACAAGGCACAGAGAGCAGAGGCAGGCACACGGATGACAGGGAGACAGACAGGAGGGCGGGAGAGGACAGTGGCCCCTTTGCTCAGACACTCACGCTCTTTGATGCCAAAGCAGCCAGCCCACTCGTCCAGGGCAATGTACTTGTCATTGTCCAGGTCACAGGTCTCGAAAAAGCGGGTGGTGCAGTGCTCCATGGGGATGAGGGGTGCACGCAGTGGAGCCAGCTCTGTGTGGGACAGGTACCTGTCGGGAGGAAGTGCAGAGGGCCTGAGGCATGGGAAAGCCCTGCACCCCAGCACACACAACTGGGGTGGGCTGGTCAGGGGGCAGCCAACCTGTCTCCCAGGCAGAAGGGAAGGAAGTTTAATGCAGGATGGAAAGCCAGGATCCTAGGTCTCCCCCAGCTCTGCCACTGACCTGCTGTGGGACCTGGAGCATAGCACTGGCCCGCTCTGAGCGGCGGTCCCCTCCTCATTAAAGGAGGAGGAGTTAACCGTAATGTCTAAAGGTCCTTCCAGATCTGAGGTGGGATTATGGGTTCATAACAGAGGTCTCTTGCTGCATTTAATTATTTCCTAATTGACTGAGAGCTGGTGGCACAGAAACTTAAAATGAAAATATTTAGCACTTGTGTTATTGGTAGATTAAAATCTGGTATGGACCAACAACACATGTTTTCTATGGACACGCATTTATATGGCGGCAAATGCGTAGACAAGAGCCTAAAAAGGAACACATCAAAATGATGACAGTGCTGACTTCTGGCGAGGAGCATGGGAAGGGATTGGGATTAGCCGGGAGGGTCAGTGGCAACTGACTCTTTCTCAGAGCTGTAAGTTTTTGTGTATCTGTAACATGTAGGAGGGAGGCCTTGGACCTTTCTCCCACTGTCTGCCCTTCAGACTCGCCCTGCTGGCCTCGGCCTCGGCTCCAAGGCACATGTGTGCTTCTTTCCCCCTCTTTCCCCTGAGCCTTCAACTAGTCATGTTCAAAACCCTCTTCCCCAGTGTGACTCCAGTTTTCTCTCTGACCCCCAGAACTCCCCACCCCACCGAACTCATGGAAGGAATCAACCATTCGAACTGGAAGGGATACCCTTCCCTGGGTCACTCTATACAGGTGGGAAACCCGAGGCCCTGGGAGGAGCCAGGTCACAGCTCTGGGACCAGAAGAGGAGGAGGACGCACTCTGACCCAGGCTGGAGTGCTTTCCCAGATGCGCAGTCCTTGTGGCCCCACGTGGAAGCCTACCTCCTGGTCCCTTCTTTGCAGTGGGGTGCAGTTGCTCAGCGGGAGCTCCCGATGCCCCCCGATGGTTCCCCTCCCCTCTGCAGGGAGTGACTCGGTTGGATCCCAGCCACGGAAACAGCCTAGAAGGGAGGCATCTGGGAGTTTCCCAGAGCTCAGGAGACCCCAGCCATGCAGGCTTGCTGACAGGGAGGACAGACTTCAGGTGCACAGCTGGACGGTGAGCAGGGGTGAGCCTCCAGGAGAGGAGCGTCCCTGGGCACAGCTGCCCCCAGGCATGCAAGTAGAGCGACCCTCCTTCCAGTGCTCCTCCAGGAACACTGGCCAGAGCAGGGCAGAGGCAGCAGTGAGGGGTAGCAAGGCACCACCTGCAACTTCTGGGGGCCTTTTTCACTTTCTCCTTTGACTGTGAGAAGCAGACCGTCACCCAGAGTGTAAGCTCCAGGGCACCAGACCAGGTCCTTTCTGCTTGCTTTCAGATCCTCTGCCTAGAATGGTGCTGGGCACATAGCAGACACTCCATGTTTGTTCACTGACCCAGCTGCCTGCCTGTTCTGCAGTACAGCTGCACAGCACATTCCCCCTCCTTGGGACAAGGGGCAAGAGCTCTCAAATCAAGAGCTTGCCATACAGCTGGCACTGGCTCTGTGATTTTTAAGAACTCCTAGGGCCAGTTTGCCCTGTTGGGGTGGGTCTCAGGGTCTTGCTGAAGGACCATGAGCATGCAGGCTACCCTTCCTCAGCCTCTGCGCCCCATGCACTCCAGCCCTCCTCCCGAGCTCCCTGTCCCTCAGATGATGGATACCCTAGGCCAGCACTCATGGGGTGAAGGAGGGATTTTCCATTCCACTGACTTCAGCCTCTTCTGGCATGAGAGCACCCTACGGCTTTCTTCATCCCATTTTGCATCCTCTCTCCAATGACTGTTCCTTCCTGCCCCAGCTCTTAGGCAAACTGTGGGTCCAGGGCTGGGAGCAGCAGAGGCTGCTGGGAGGTTTTCTGGCCATATCCAGTGCACCTACCGGCCCTGACACATGATGCCGTCTACTCCAGGGCCAAGTCAGAGCAGCCCTGTGATCCTCATGGCCTGCGGTCTTACCCGTCAGTGGGATGCTGGTCCAGCTGGCCGAACTGCCAGTGCACAGGGAAGATGTACATGTTGTAGTTCTTCTCAAAGTCCCGGGCCAGCAGCTCCACGGGATGGTCTCCAGCCTCCAGACGCTTCTCATTCTCATGGATCTTCTTCACCTGTGGGAACAAAGATGCTATTTGATAGAGGGTCCAGAAGAGACTGTCTGGGCCAGCCAGGGCCCCCCCACCTCTGACAAGAGGCCAGAGCAGGCAGAGACCAACCAAAGCCAAGGTTCAACATAAGGGAGGGAAGTGGCGTAGCTAGGTGCCGGTATCTCATCTGCAAAGGTGGAGGCCCAGGGTGGCCTCGGAGGACTCCATCTCCACAGAGCTGCCACGTCACTACCACCTGAGGAGTGTGTTCAAGTGCAGCTTCCTGCACCTTGTTTCACAGACATGGATTCAGTAGGTCTGACGTAGGGCCCAGGAATCTGCAATTTATCAGCACTTCAAGTGCTTGATATGTCTTTTGAAGTTTAAGATTGTTGTTTCTGTCCTTAATTTTTAAACACAGGGCTAAACAAACTGAGCAGGCCTCTTCATTCCAGGACTTTTCAGGCCTTGAATATGTGAATGTGCACTGTGAGAAGTCTGTGTCCCAGTGCCCACAAATAGGCACTCATCAGAGCCACGGGGTAGGCTTATACCCGGGGATGTAGTCCTGGGAATGGGACTATGCACTCAGCCAGCCTAGGGACAAGAGCTGTGCTGCTCAGGGCCAGGCAGGCACCCAGGACAGGCTGGAAAGAGACCACTTACTCGCAGCTTCTGCTTCTCGGTCAGGAGGTTGTTATCATCGTCCCTTTCATACAGAGTGACCAGGACGTTCTTAAGCCAGTCCCGCATGCGCAGGGGGAATTCTGTCAGCTCAGAGTCCAGGCAGGGGGGGATGTCTAGGGCCCAAAACACAAGGGTAGTCAACACAGACCCCGACTCTCCCTTCCTGAGGGCCGATGTGCTGGCTGGGCTGCTCTCCCCACCCCATGGCCTCCTCCTAAAGCTGCAGTGGCTTGGCCTACTCTGGGCCCTGTTTCTTCACACCACAGTGAGCAAAGGAAATTGTGTGGAGGAAGAATGCTTTGCAAATGGAAAGTGCGAAGGCCTGTCTGCTGCTCTCTTGGTCTTGATCTGCTGTGCTGAGGGAAATAGTCACTCCGGCAGCTCCTGCACCTTTCCGGGTGATGGGCCTTAAAGCAAAGGCCCAGGACCCACACTGGGATATCAACCACTGTGAGATGTCTGAAGCTGGGAGACTAGGGAATAATATCTATCCACAGGCCCAGCATAGCAGGGGTGGGGAGGTCAGGCATGCTTAAACACCAGGACATTCTTGGCGATAATGATTCCATCCTGGTCTTTGGAAGTTAGAATCCCAGAACCCTGGCCAAGGCCACCCTCTTATTGGACTTATTAGGGGTCAGCATAGAGAGAAGGAGCCTGCTCAAGGCCACATCATCAGGGCATGTGGTTGTCTGGGACTTAAAGGTCCCTTCTTCATCCTTGGACCTGTGGAAAGCCCTTCTGTGGTTAGGGTCACTACTTTCTTCACTACCAGCTAGGGAGGAGAAGAGAACACCTGTGACAGAAACATGAGCTGGAGTGAGCAATATGCCTCAAAGGACAGCAAGAGCCACTGGTGAAGGCTCCTGGCACACTCTTCAGTCTCACTGTCCAAGGATTCCTGCCAGCATTCTTCCTCCAGGCTTCTTCCCAGGCCTGTGCCTTCTCATTTCACACCTGGCCCCATGTCTGGGAGAGTAGGGCTGACCCCAGGAGAACCTGGTTTTCCCCTCCACCTTTCTGCACACCTGAGACAGGTGAGTGGCTCTCCCCAAGGCCATCTGGTGCCAAAATGTACCAGATACACAATATGGATATTGTCTTGGAGGGTGAGCAGATGTGGCCTTTGATGTTTCAAATGATAGGGAGGTTGCCAGCACTGAAGGAGGCACCTGGGCCAGCTGAACCTGTACCTAGGATCACTAACAGAAGGCTAGACAGCACCCTAGCATCCCTTCCCCCAAACGCCTGGCTCACAGGTTTCTAGAAGAGGGTGGATAATTGTATGTCTTAAGCAGGCAAACAGGAATATAATGGAGTGAAAAGGCCAAGGATGGGACCATACTGAGGCACAGGGCCTCCAGGGAACTGACAGGCATGCCCCTATTTTAAATCACTTGAATGCAAATATTTTAAAAGCATTTCATAGGCTCAAGAGGAATATCATTTTGCATTACAGTGTTGAAACAGGAAAGATTTGGGTTAGCTCTGAAGAAGAACTTCCTCATCATTAGAGAAAAGAAATGAATTGTCTTGGATGCTAGTGAGGAAGTCCAAAAGTCCTCCTGGATCTTATGCTGCCACAGCTGCTCCATCCTTCTCAAGGGTGTCCTGAATACAGACTTAAGAGGAACCCACTCATAGACAATCATCTCATTTTATAAATGGGAACCCTGAGGCTCAGAGAGGGAAAGAGATGAGATTTGTTCAAGATCACTCAGCCAGGGGCCGGCAGAGCCAGCCTCAGTGCCAGCAGTGCTCTCTCCCCAAGACGGGAGGCTGGAGGAGCCCAAGGACAGACTCACATTTGCAAGGCCCAATGTAGTCCAGGTGGAGTTTGTGGCCTTTCTTGGTGCCCTCCAGGGTGCATTTGGTGGCAAAAAAGTGGCAGGAAGAGTCGAAGGTCTTGTTATCATTGCTGCACACCTGTTGGCAAAGTACAAAACACCTCACCTTCATTCCCAAAAGCCTTTGCTGGTACCACCATCCTTGCCCATTTCAGAGATGGAGACACTGAGCCCCAAGTGAGGAACATGATTAGTCCAGGGTCGTTCAGAGAGTTGGTGGTAGGGTGTGACAAGAAACCCACTCTTTGGACTCCCAGGCCAATGTCCAGGCCATGCTTAGAGCCACTGTTGGTGTCTGAGCAGAGGCACGAGTGAGTAGGGTTGAGATAAGGGGAAAAAGAAAATGAAGATATGGAAAGGATGAATTAAAGATGGGGGTGGTGAAAAGGAAGAGTGTGCAGGAAAGAGTTCATATAGCAGGCCTGGGATTGTTATCCTTAGAAGGGCCTGCCCATAAGGTTGGCCCTTGGCTGGCTCTGGGAACTTGGCTGGTAAGCAGTTCTGCACTGTTGTAAAACTTTGCACAAGTGAAAAAGGTGGCTCACTCTGCCTAGACTGCTTGTACAAACAATATGGTTATGCTGATCGCCTGCTTTCCTTCTGGGAGTCTGGAATTTGGGTACATGCTAGGCAGAGGGTACCTATGTGACAAGCCCTCAATGAGAACTCTGGGTGCTAAGTCACTAATGGGCTTCCTTGGTTGGAAACGTTGCTTCCCTGTGACTGCATCTTTGTAGCTGGGGAAAGAGTACATCCTGTGAGATGCCTCATGACAGGGAGGGAGTAAGCAAGCCTGCGCATGGATTCCTCCAGACTCTGCCTGTGTCTTGTTCCCCATTACGCAGGTGGCGTAAATATCAGTGGTGGCGTAAATCTCAGTGGTGAGTCCAGCTATATGGTGATCCATGTGAGTTTCTTATGTCCCAGTGCCCACAAATAGGCACTCATCAGAGCCACGGGGTAGGCTTATACCCGGGGATGTAGTCCTGGGAATGGGACTATGCACTCAGCCAGCCTAGGGACAAGAGCTGTGCTGCTCAGGGCCAGGCAGGCACCCGGGACAGGCTGGAAAGAGACCACTTACTCGCAGCTTCTGCTTCTCGGTCAGGAGGTTGTTATCATCGTCCCTTTCATACAGAGTGACCAGGACGTTCTTAAGCCAGTCCCGCATGCGCAGGGGGAATTCTGTCAGCTCAGAGTCCAGGCAGGGGGGGATGTCTAGGGCCCAAAACACAAGGGTAGTCAACACAGACCCCGACTCTCCCTTCCTGAGGGCCGATGTGCTGGCTGGGCTGCTCTCCCCACCCCATGGCCTCCTCCTAAAGCTGCAGTGGCTTGGCCTACTCTGGGCCCTGTTTCTTCACACCACAGTGAGCAAAGGAAATTGTGTGGAGGAAGAATGCTTTGCAAATGGAAAGTGCGAAGGCCTGTCTGCTGCTCTCTTGGTCTTGATCTGCTGTGCTGAGGGAAATAGTCACTCCGGCAGCTCCTGCACCTTTCCGGGTGATGGGCCTTAAAGCAAAGGCCCAGGACCCACACTGGGATATCAACCACTGTGAGATGTCTGAAGCTGGGAGACTAGGGAATAATATCTATCCACAGGCCCAGCATAGCAGGGGTGGGGAGGTCAGGCATGCTTAAACACCAGGACATTCTTGGCGATAATGATTCCATCCTGGTCTTTGGAAGTTAGAATCCCAGAACCCTGGCCAAGGCCACCCTCTTATTGGACTTATTAGGGGTCAGCATAGAGAGAAGGAGCCTGCTCAAGGCCACATCATCAGGGCATGTGGTTGTCTGGGACTTAAAGGTCCCTTCTTCATCCTTGGACCTGTGGAAAGCCCTTCTGTGGTTAGGGTCACTACTTTCTTCACTACCAGCTAGGGAGGAGAAGAGAACACCTGTGACAGAAACATGAGCTGGAGTGAGCAATATGCCTCAAAGGACAGCAAGAGCCACTGGTGAAGGCTCCTGGCACACTCTTCAGTCTCACTGTCCAAGGATTCCTGCCAGCATTCTTCCTCCAGGCTTCTTCCCAGGCCTGTGCCTTCTCATTTCACACCTGGCCCCATGTCTGGGAGAGTAGGGCTGACCCCAGGAGAACCTGGTTTTCCCCTCCACCTTTCTGCACACCTGAGACAGGTGAGTGGCTCTCCCCAAGGCCATCTGGTGCCAAAATGTACCAGATACACAATATGGATATTGTCTTGGAGGGTGAGCAGATGTGGCCTTTGATGTTTCAAATGATAGGGAGGTTGCCAGCACTGAAGGAGGCACCTGGGCCAGCTGAACCTGTACCTAGGATCACTAACAGAAGGCTAGACAGCACCCTAGCATCCCTTCCCCCAAACGCCTGGCTCACAGGTTTCTAGAAGAGGGTGGATAATTGTATGTCTTAAGCAGGCAAACAGGAATATAATGGAGTGAAAAGGCCAAGGATGGGACCATACTGAGGCACAGGGCCTCCAGGGAACTGACAGGCATGCCCCTATTTTAAATCACTTGAATGCAAATATTTTAAAAGCATTTCATAGGCTCAAGAGGAATATCATTTTGCATTACAGTGTTGAAACAGGAAAGATTTGGGTTAGCTCTGAAGAAGAACTTCCTCATCATTAGAGAAAAGAAATGAATTGTCTTGGATGCTAGTGAGGAAGTCCAAAAGTCCTCCTGGATCTTATGCTGCCACAGCTGCTCCATCCTTCTCAAGGGTGTCCTGAATACAGACTTAAGAGGAACCCACTCATAGACAATCATCTCATTTTATAAATGGGAACCCTGAGGCTCAGAGAGGGAAAGAGATGAGATTTGTTCAAGATCACTCAGCCAGGGGCCGGCAGAGCCAGCCTCAGTGCCAGCAGTGCTCTCTCCCCAAGACGGGAGGCTGGAGGAGCCCAAGGACAGACTCACATTTGCAAGGCCCAATGTAGTCCAGGTGGAGTTTGTGGCCTTTCTTGGTGCCCTCCAGGGTGCATTTGGTGGCAAAAAAGTGGCAGGAAGAGTCGAAGGTCTTGTTATCATTGCTGCACACCTGTTGGCAAAGTACAAAACACCTCACCTTCATTCCCAAAAGCCTTTGCTGGTACCACCATCCTTGCCCATTTCAGAGATGGAGACACTGAGCCCCAAGTGAGGAACATGATTAGTCCAGGGTCGTTCAGAGAGTTGGTGGTAGGGTGTGACAAGAAACCCACTCTTTGGACTCCCAGGCCAATGTCCAGGCCATGCTTAGAGCCACTGTTGGTGTCTGAGCAGAGGCACGAGTGAGTAGGGTTGAGATAAGGGGAAAAAGAAAATGAAGATATGGAAAGGATGAATTAAAGATGGGGGTGGTGAAAAGGAAGAGTGTGCAGGAAAGAGTTCATATAGCAGGCCTGGGATTGTTATCCTTAGAAGGGCCTGCCCATAAGGTTGGCCCTTGGCTGGCTCTGGGAACTTGGCTGGTAAGCAGTTCTGCACTGTTGTAAAACTTTGCACAAGTGAAAAAGGTGGCTCACTCTGCCTAGACTGCTTGTACAAACAATATGGTTATGCTGATCGCCTGCTTTCCTTCTGGGAGTCTGGAATTTGGGTACATGCTAGGCAGAGGGTACCTATGTGACAAGCCCTCAATGAGAACTCTGGGTGCTAAGTCACTAATGGGCTTCCTTGGTTGGAAACGTTGCTTCCCTGTGACTGCATCTTTGTAGCTGGGGAAAGAGTACATCCTGTAAGATGCCTCATGACAGGGAGGGAGTAAGCAAGCCTGCGCATGGATTCCTCCAGACTCTGCCTGTGTCTTGTTCCCCATTACGCAGGTGGCGTAAATATCAGTGGTGGCGTAAATCTCAGTGGTGAGTCCAGCTATATGGTGATCCATGTGAGTTTCTTAGCCAATCTCTGCACATGGGGAGGCGAAGCTGAGGGCTAAACAATACAATGGCAATAAGTAGCTGTGCTAGGAGGAGGGGAGCCTTGTGTTGACCTTCCTCCTCATACTTACTCAGTATTGCTTGCATATCGCTGCAGAGCGGAAGTGATGGGTGTTGACCAGTGGGAAGGGTGGGCGGTGAAGGGGTGAGGAGGAGGGAAGAGTTGACAATGATGCTAAAATTTGGAGCCCAGAGGATAAGTTGTATTGGGGAGAGAGATTCAAGGTAGAGAGGTTGTGGGAATTGCACTCCTGTCAAATTTGCTGCCCTGGGCAAGGTCACGGCTGGCACAATTGTCAGCATGAGTGTGTATTTATTAAATATTCACTTAGATGGGTGGATGGAAGATGCATGGCTGAATGAGCTCCCTTGGAGGTAGAATGGACAGGTATGAAAGACTTTTTTTAAATAGCTCCTATTGGGCACTTACTAAGTAAAAAGCATTAGCTGACAAATCCCCACAACAGCCCCATGAGATCAAGATGATTTCTGTCCCCTCTTCAGAGATGAGGGAACTGAAACTTGGAAAGGTTTAGCAGCGTAGCCGAGACCTCACAGCTGACAAGTGGTGGAGGTGGGATTTGAAGTCAGCCTTCACTCGAACCCCAGACCTCACATTTTTAGACCCTGGGCTTTGCTAAGCTGCTCCCAAGTGGAGAAAGACCTTATCTCAGTGTCTGATGTTACTGATGAAACTGGTATAGAGCTTGGAACCTGAAGGTGCCAAATTAATTCTTGCTGGTTTCGGGAGAGAGACGGTGACGGGCAGAGCCTCACCTCTGACTCACCTCTACTTACGTCCTGTGACCAGATTTAATGAGAGGATTTCTGAGCTTGGAGCTGCCCCACAGAACCACCAAGCCAAGTTTTCTGGGCAGACGCTGTGTTCAGAAAGGCCCAGTACCACAGCTCCCCACCCCTGTCCCTGTCCCTGTCCCTGAGCCCTTACCTTCTCAAACTCGCCCATGGGGGCAGGGCAGGTAGTAGGGTCCTGGCACACACACATAGGGCTGTTGTTCTCATCCAACTCGCACACTTTGCCGTGTTTGCAGTGGTGGTTCTGGCAGGGGTCTGGCAGAGGGCAAAGGCATGTAGTCAGTACCACTGGGCTAGGACAGTCACCCCAACCCAATGCAGATGGGTCCTTGGGCAGAAGTCCTTGCCTGTGACCCCACGCCAGGCTTTAAAGGGCAGCCCCAAGTCCTCCCTTCTCTTCCGCTGAGCCCTGCAATCTGTATTCAGGGGAGCAATTGCTCATTTTGGGGTTTAGAGATTCAGTCTGAGGGTAGAGTCAGGCACATTTGGGAGAGCTGTGGCCTTGGTCTGGGGCCCCGGATGGCATCCACATGGCGTCCTCCAGGATGGAAGCAGCCATGGTGCACTCAGCTTCAGGCTGATCGGTCACAGCGAGGTCTTTCTGGATTCTAGAATAGACTTTCTAGAATGATATGGAAAGTCAGCTCTTATCAGGGACCCAGGGAGCTGTGAGGCCCAGCAGACTTGAGGGGCCGCAGAGGAAAAGGAGGAAGAGCTCCAAGGCCCACCCTGAACAATAGAGCCCAGCTGTGCCACAAACACCGGATAAGGCGGGCGTTGGGGGCAGGAACCGACTCGATAGATAGATGCCCCTCCACTCCATAGGGATGAGCGCTCCATCTAGCCTTTTCCTCCCTGGGGTTTGTTATTCGTGCTTCATCAGACGCCTGCTCTGCCGGGCACTAGGCCAAGTGCTCTTATGCTTTATCTCATCCCAGTCTGGCAGCCCTGGGTGAGGGTCTGCCGTCTGCATCACTCCAGTGGCAGGCACGAGGAGGCGGAGGCTCAGGGGTGCTGAGCAGGCCGTCGGGACCCGGAACGCAGGGGGAGTCGGCACACCTAGATGCGAACTGTGGTGGGTTTGCCTGCAGAATTCACGCTGTTGACCCACGGGTGCAGTGCCTCTCCCTCGGGGATGGAGATGCCAAGGTGGTGGGCTGGAGCCAGAGGCCCGGGGGCCTCTCTTTCCCTCCAGCACCCACTCCATGGGTAGCGTTATGTAGCTATGTCGTGTTTCCAGGCCTTATTTCCCCATGGCTGTGTGAGAATCAAGTAAGCTAATGAGTGTGAACACTTCTGAGGTACCCGTGTGGGGTTGGGGCTGAGACAAGGGCCATCAAGGAGCTGAGTGACTAGAGGTGACAGTGGCCAGATGTGACAGCGGCCTCAGGGGAAATGTGAAACCCAGCTTTGGAGTCAGGGCAAAGGTCCACAAGGAGAGAAGGCCATTTCCAGCTAGGGAACTTCACTTCCTGACACTCAGCATGGACGGCCTGGCTATAAATAGATCTTTTCCAGATTCCAGGGAATGTTCCCAGCCTTTGAGTCAAAGCTGTTTCTTCCCATGGCCCACCCAGCAGGGAGGACCCCACCCTGCACTTCCTTGGGAAGGAACCTCACGTAGGCTGTCCCCAAGCCCTAGGCTGGCCCGGGCAGCACAGGCTGGGGCATAAGACACAAGGAAGGGACCTACTTTCAGCCACCACCTCCTCTTCTGCTTCCTCAGGACCTTCATCAAATTCACCTGTTTCCACATGGACAGGGCTGGCCCCCACAGGAACCTGGGGTGGAAGGAGAAGAGTGAGCCCATGGCCCCACCCCCACCCCAGACCCAGAAGAAAGAGAGACTGGAGGGGGCTCGCTTGGAGCTGTGGGGCCCCACAGGGATGGTGGGGGACGAGCCAGAAAGCTGTGCTAGGCCCAGGTCACACAGAGAACAAATGCCAGGGCCTAGAATTTAGATGGTGCCCTGGAGTTCTACTGAGATAGCTCAGATGCCACAGGGTGTTAGGGCAAGTCAGGGTGCCAAGCCCTCCACCGCTGATAGCCCACCAGAGCAGCTTCCCCTTCATCTGTCTGATGTATGGACAGCCTGCGGGTGATCGTCTAGTAAAAATCATTCCCCAGCTTAAAAAAATAAAATTTCACAATCATAGCTCCCAACTGTAGGATTCCATAGAAGGTTTGGGAAGATGAAGGAGTGTGTCAGGACTAGGAAATCCACTATGTACACATCTGTGCTGTGTGTGCGCATGGGAAGGGGACAGATGCCCTCTTCTGGCATTGAGACTCACAGTACCTGCCTGTTTTCCTAGAGCATGGAGGGCAGAGAGGGGCCAGGGGTCTGCAGTTACCACCACCTACCTCGGCCACCTCAGCCACGGTTTCCTCCACTACCTCCGTCTCATCAGGCAGGGCTTCCTGTTGCTGTTGGGAAGAGAAAGTGGGGTTCAGAGAGGTCCGGGCCAAGGCCAGCTCACCTCTGATTTGTCACCATCCTGGAACACGAAGGTGGGGATCTAGGAGGGCAGCTCCTTGGAAATCCCAAGGACCACCGTGGGCGCAGGGACAAGGGCACAGGAGAGCCAAACACAGGGCCCTAGGGCACTCCGGATGGCTTCCCTTTTTATATTGTATATCTGGGGTGTCTAAGCTTTAGTTCAGGAAAGCATATCCACTGTTTTGAAATCCTAGGAAGTCTGAAATCCACTGATACAGACTGATTCTATTTTATAAATGGGAAAACTGAGATTCACTGTGAGATTCATCCCCCCCAAGTGTGATGAGGAGGGGAAGGTGGATCTGGTGATTCTTTTTCGCCTGCCATGTTGACTTGGCTTGGGAAGAAGTAAGATGACATAGGACTTCAAGGCACCTGGCTGGGTGGGGCTTCTTCTAAAGTAATGCTAATCTTGCCAAATCTTTTGCCAAAATCTACCTTTCTGATCTGGATTGCCAGAGACTGCCATCACTCACACCTCCTAGTGAAGAGAGGATGAGGGAATCACAGGTTGAAAGAAACTTCTGTTTTGCCCCCCTGAGTTTCTTCCTCCCTCTTCCGGTAATGTCTTCTAGCTCAGCTTCCCATGGCCACTTAAAGTCCTCAGCGTGCAATTCTGGGAGGGACTGTCTGTGAGTCAGGTGCCCTGCACTCCCCTTACCAAGAAGCAGGCCCAGAACCCAAGCTCACAGTGGTTCTCCTTGAAATTTTTTTTATCTTCTTGGCAAGTTCCCTCAAGATGTGAAAACTGTTGGAGCAGATCCATTTAAATGTAATATCTCCAAGACCATCCATTAGGTCTTGCTTCCCAGATCTCGGGGCTGCTGTTTTCCAGTCCTCCACAAGGCCTTTGATTTTATGATCTACCCTGTATCCTTCTTTCCCACCTAATTTAGTCATATTGGAGTCTGATGCTTGCAACCAAAAGCCCCCGCTGATTCGGAAGCTAACCCAGCCATCTCTCTGTGGCCTGACCCTCTTCTAACACCAACCCTACAGCATCCCCTCTGCTTGAATTCTTCCTCTGATGAAGAGGTCCCTTCCTCCTAAAGCAATTCTAGTCCATTTCGGGGAAGTTCTGACTGCTAAAAAAATTCATCTTCACATTATATGGAAATCTCTCTGCTCCAGAATCTCCACTCAGTGATCCTTATCTCAATTTTTCTCCTGAGCTTATTAGTTTAAGAAAAAAATCTTTATCAGAAATAAGATAGACAACTCAAGATGGGGAAGTACCTGACTCCTCTGAGCATCCAGAGCTGGCAAATTTGATGCCCCTGAACTGGCAGTGGGGGATAAAACCAAGCACATATGGTCTGGGTACTTACAGGGGCTGCCAAGGCCCTCCCGGCCAGGCAAAGGAGAAAGAAGACCCAGGCGCTCATGGTGCTGGGAACCCTGTGGAGAGAAGAGAGGAGATCAGTGAGCAGGGGGCTTCCTGACGGAGAGTGCTCCCCAATGCTGAACTCCTTCCATACGCAGGATGATTCCACAAGGTGCCTGCTAAGTGACAGTGAAAGACGCTGCTGCGCAGCCCTGAACACCTCTCAGACACGCACCTAGCTCCCTTCGTAAGGGAGAGGAGGCCTCTGGCTCAGAGCCTCCACAGGAAGCTCCATCCAGCTGGGATTCAATAAAAGTTGTTTTGTCTTCTTTGTGTTTATTTTTATAGTTTCCTTCTATGTACTACAAAAGTACACCAATTTTTCCTTTTATGGTAATAATATAAAGTTTCCTTTCTTGATTTTTTTTAAGGTTTTATAAAGTGATTCCACAAAGGTCATTGGCTAATTAGTCAAGCTCAGGAATGCTGAACCAGACGGTCTCCCATCATCCCTTCAAGGTGTTCTAGGATCCTTTTGTTGTGCCCCCCAGAGCCAGACTCCCTCCCCCTCTCTTCCTCCTCCGTCCTTCCCACTTTGTAATGGCAGAAGTTAGTAGGCAGCAACCTCTTGCCAATTGGAGACAATGAGAACTACATTCTAAAACAAAGAACGATAGTCTCAGAGGGTGACCAGTGGCAATTTAAGGGTAGCCACTTTTTTCTCCATTCTATCCAGAAGGGAAGGCACTTCTCCAGATCTTCTAGGGAAACTATCCAAACGCTTGTCACCTTCTCTTTTACCTACACAGCTAAGGGACGTTAGCTGAGATCTAGGAATTTCTCCTGCCCTGCTCACTGCTAAGGCCTCACTCTCTGGATGCTGAATTCTCAACTCTAAAAATCTCTGACTGGAAGGGGGCTTGGAGCAGAATCTCCTCTGATGATTCAATGTCAAAATGCCATCCTTAAAAGATCTGAGGTGGGGCATCTTACTTCTTGTTCCAATGAAATGGACTTCCATTTCCAAATGGCTTTAGAATGTTCTTCCTTATCCAGACCTAAATTTTCCTCCCTCAATCTGACCTCCTCTGTTCCTCCTCCTGTGGCCACAGAGAACAAGCTGCTCCCTCTGCTCCCAAGCTGCTTCTAGTCAAAGCGGGCAGTGGCCTTGTCTTCCCTCTTTGTCTATCCCAGACCTTCCACATTGGGCTACTCGTCCCTAGTTCCTTCCAAGACTTCTCAACTGACCAAGGACCTCAGGGGTACACTGGCATTACAGAAAAAAATCATTACACTTAGACTTAAATGCCAGGGGTTCTTGTTCTGCCTCAATACTATCTTGGTGTGTTGAGTAAATCCTTTACTTTTTCTAGACCTCAGTTTCCCCTTCTGCTAGTTGAGAGGGTTAGACTAGGTCAACTTGAAGGTGGTACGCTGGGTCCTTAAAATGTCATAAGCACGTGCTGATCTTGGCACCTGCCATTACTTCTGGCATCATCATTCTTCACTTAGATTAGTATTTGGGTAGCAGACATAGGCAGAGGAAGACCAGACTCCCAACAGTCCTCTACTGGATTAAGGCAGACATGGGACCTCACTTCCTAGTTCTCTGAGGGTGCAGGAAATAAAACTAACAAACATAAAGGAATCAACCTGGGAGCTGGGCATTGCTTCCCCATGGCTCCATCTTCCCTTCCAGGCAGTTTGGGAAAGTTCCTCCCCCACACAGTTGTATGTCTGCTCCCCCAGGCCTAGAGGTGGAAAGATCTCCCTTTTGCTTCCCCATTTGGAAGATGCAAGCAAAGCAGCTTGTGCAGGTGGCTTTGGGCGAACAGATCAGGAGAGGCACCATCATGAAGGACTTGTCTGAGATGGTTTAATGTCAAAGGGTTGCAGTGAGACCGCTAGAACAAAAAAAAAGTGCTGTCTGGGCTCCAGGGACAGAGAAGTCATGTCATTGGACAAACAGCCCAGCTAGGGCTAAAAATATAAAAAGCTTTAGGTTGGAGAGCCAGGGAGACTGACATCTCCAGAGCCTGTCCTTCGGCAGAGCAGAGGAACCATGCTACCCTCTTTGAACAGAGAAAGCTTTGCTGGTCGGCTTTTCCAGCTGGGCCGCCTCTCCACCTTCCCGCACTTCTTTCAAAGTGGCACACTCACCGTTCCTGCTACCCTCATCCCTGGCTTTGTAATCAGAAGAGAAAAGTAATTCTAAATCTTGCAGTGCTTTATAGTTTCTAAAGGCCTCATACATACACTGTCCCTTGGAGCCTCTGACCCACTGGTAGTAGGCAGCCGAGCATGGGAGGGCTCTGAGTCCCACCTTCCCATGACTCTGCAGTTTGAGAGCAAAGAGATCATGCAACACTCAAGACCCTTCCAAGCTGACAAACTCCCTTCTCAAACTCCCTTTTCTCCCTAAGAGAAAGACACACAATATTGGAGGAGTTATTTTCCAAATTTGGGGTTCTGCCCAGAGCTACATTACCAGTTCCAGAACCCTTTCCCTCCAGATGATGGGAATGGGAGGGAAGGGGTACAGCTGGACTGTTCATGGACACAGGGCCTTGCTCCCTGCAAACCCATGAGACCCCTCCCTGAGGTTCTCTATAACATCGCTGTCCAAAGAGGCCAGGCACCCATCCTGCAAAGCTAATGGGGTACAAGTCACTCCAGCATTTAGAACTTATCCACTGTGCACACACTGAGGTCTGGCATGTCCTGTGAAAATATAAACACCTTCACATAAAAAACTGGCATTAAATGAAAACTCCCTGCTTTCTATCTCTTTAGTTTGTGATGATTTTCATATTTATCCTTTTCAAAGTGTTTTCTTAATCCAAAATCCCATTAGAGCTCAAGGCACATATTTCTGCTTTTGAGCTGAAGACACATATTTCTGCCTTTCTTCCCCAGTGAGGGGAAGAAATCTATATGAGTCCAAGGAGAGAGCAGCAGGGCTGACTGAGGCCCCGGCAGCCGCCCCCATCATTGGCCTGCACTCCTCCTCCCAGCTTCCCTTGGCAGGCACTGACCTGAACGGGGCCTGGCTGGGCTGTGAACCGGCCTATGGTGCAGGGAGGGAAAGTAGCCCAGGCCAGAGGAGGAACAGGAGATGTGTTTCGCTTGGCCTGGTGGTCATCAAATGCATACACCACTCACCCCCACCCCACCGCCACCTCTTCCTCCCGTTCCGCACATCGAGTCCCTTCCTTTGCCTTTATTTGCTCTGGAGACAGCTGAAAACCTGTCCTTGGCTGCCAGGAGGACCTGAAGCTGAGGTCACTTCTCTCTGTTTGGAAAGACTCTAGGATGGAAAAGTACAGCCAGCCCCCCAGTTCATCTCCCTCCTTTCATTAAGGGCCTCCTTCAGGCTCTCCCTGGACACTGAAAAGTTGCTAAATGCCAGAACTGGGGAAAATCTCAGAATCATAGAATTCTAGACTTGGATCATGGCCTCTGAAGAACAGGAATCTGAGTTTCAGTGATCAAATCTGATTTGAGAAGAGCTTAAGGAGCACTACAGTCCAGTAGGAGATTGGAGATATATGGCATAAAGGTAAACTCATGGGCTCTGGAGACAGACTATACAGGTTCAAATCCTGGCTCTGCCATGTAGCAATTGTGTAACCTTCAGACACTTTCACTCTCTGAGCCTCAGTTGATTTTCCCATCTGTAAAATGGAAGTAACACACCTACCTGGAAAGTCTCATGGGTGCTTTACATGCAAGAATACAAGAGGTAATGTTGTTTGGAAGAGCATCTTAAAATATGAGGATCCCAGAATCTCCATCCCCCTCAAGAATCCACGGCAAGAATCCCAGCTCTTTGTCTGCAGCCCAGGGAGGCAGGGCGCTGGGGTGGACAAAGGAGACATTACTCCTCTCAGGCTAAGGGACACCAGCCCAGCCCCCAGGGAACACAGTAACAAAGGCCAGGCCCCAGGCAGGCCTCTCAGCCGGACTGCTGACACAGTCCAAACATCTCACTCCCACTATTTGGCTTGGAAACAAGGGTTCCCAAAACACACATTCCTGGTAAACAAGCCCAAATCAAGGAAAACAAGTCTAGAGGCTAATGAAGGAACCCCCTTTGTGAGCCAGGCCTGCCCGGGAGCCGGAACTTGGAAGGAGGGCTGCTCCAGGCCAGAGAGGCGCCACCAGGGCCAGTGCAGCTCACCCTCACGAACAGACACAGCCCCTGGGAGGCGGTCTCATGTCGTGGAAGTCAGGAGTCCTGGGATCAACTCTTGTCAACGTTTGTCCCAGCTCACCATGCAAACTTGGGAAAGACGCTTCCACTCCCTGGGCCTCACCCAGCCCTATTTGTCTGCACAATGAGGAGGTTGTGTTAGGTCAGTGGTGTTCAAAATTATGTAAACCAGGGAGCCCTCTCTTTCAGTGAAGTCTTCTGCAGTTATCCAATATTTGAAACAGCTAAAAGCCTTTTACATTTGCTGAAACACGTGAATGCATTGTTATTTATTCAATTAACCAGCTTGAAATTAAAAAGCAAGCAAGTGAAAGTGGAGCTGAGACGGGGGCTGTAAGTCCCACACACTGGGACAACCCTGAGATGCCTTCGAGTGTCTCCAGGCTCTCCTGTCTGAAAACTCTTGGACAAGGTGGTTCCTAGGGTTCCTCCAGCTCTGCCTTTCTGAACTTAGGCAGAAACCCTTCAGAGTGTCACCTCTCCCAGCCTGCCTCTTGACTCTCTGCTTCCACTTCTAATATTTCTTGCTGAAGGGGAAGAGGCTAAGGGAAACTTTACAGTGTTATAAATACTCAAACCTAGGATTAAAGCAGTTCTGGAGCAACACAGAAGTAGCCCTGGAGTTTGAGACTGGGATAAGCCTGCCTGAGGTTCCACAAAGGCAATCTAAGATGCCACATTTTCACCACAGTTAGGAGAGGCCAGGGGTGGAGCCTCAGGCTGTCCTCCTCGGCTCCCCTTCAGGGCCCCTTCTGCTTCAGTGTGACTGAAAATGGAGGGGGTGAGAAATAACATCAAAGTGTCCAGGCTGTCATGTCCCAGAGCAGCAAATACCTGGTGTATATGCTTCCACCTGCCCCTCCTGTGCGTGTGGCAGACATTACTAATCAATCATACGACCTGTATCCCTAAGGTCCAGAGAAGCATCCACACCCTGAACATAACTCTTCTGGCAGCTGCTGTCAATGGATCAGTGTTGTCGAGCCCTGTGAAGCCTCTATGCCATGATTCTGATTTCAGAGATGGAGAATTATAGATCAAAGAGGGAAAATAACTCACTCAAGGTCCTCTTGGAGTCCAAGCTAAACTTCAGGTGTTCAGAGATACATCAGATATTTACCTTGCATTGCTTCTTTTTTCATCTAATCAGTCTGGAATCCTAATACGGTGACTAACACAAGATGACCCAGAGGGATCCCCAGAGATAAGTTAATACCAAGTTTCTGAAACAACCCAGTGCTTGAGAGAGTTGGTTTCTCCATCCCTATTTCCCTATAGACATCAAGCTCTATGACTTGATGAATAAAAGCAGAGTTAATTTCCTGTGTAAGATGTCTCCCCTGGATGAGGAAGAGGTTTTTTTCTTAAACAATTCTGTCAAGTTACTGCTTGCTGACTCTGACTCGGCTCAGCCCAGCTGTCCCTGAGTTCAGGATTAGGGTTAGGATCCAGGCTCTGTACTGTGGGGAAAAGGTTGCTTCATTAATCCCCAGGCTTGGCTGGAAGCTCAGCTTCAGATTTTCCTTCCCTCTTTTAAAGACTGAGGTTAAGAGGGGAGCCAGCAGGAAGCAAATGAGCAGCCACCTATTGGACACATCTGCTGCCTCAGTGACAAAGCCACCTGGGCTGGGACAAGCCATCGCAGGTCACAAAGGGAAGAGGGCAAGTACTGCTCATCACTTCTTTTCCGTACAGGGATATCCCTCTAGAGGGAGGTGTGTGTAGGCAACCACCTAGTAAGGTTTCCTTAGTAAAAAGAAACCATCAAACTGATCAGATGCAAACGAACAAAAAGTGAACATCTGGATATTTCCAAACATCTTAAAGTTTGGCTCAGACATCAGTTTGCTATGTGACCTCAGGTGAGTTATTTTCCCTTCCAGAGTCTCAGTTTCTCTGTCTGTAACATGGAACAGGTAGTAGGTTCTGTACGTGTGTAATGTGTCTCCTTCTCACAACCTGTCATTCTGTCTGGCTATGCACATCTGTACATGGCTACACATGGCAGTTGCGTTTGCATGCCTGACAGTATGTCTGAATAAGTTACCTATGACTTTGAGGACCTCTGTGTGAAGCTGTGTCTGTGTGTCTGTGTGTATCTATCTAACTCAGCATGTGTCTGTTTGGGCCTGTATAGGTAAGGGTTAGAGTTTACATAGGCATCAAGGTATACACCTGGAATCTGCCTGTGAGTCAAGGCACCATTCAGGGAAAGGTATGTGAGTGTATGGCCTCTTGTGTCTGCTCAAGTATTGAGGCATGCATTTTTGGCTGCACCAGTGGGTGCCTGTTGGTGAAATCAATGTATGTACTCAGCATTGTATGTTTGTGTCTGTCCCTATATATCTCTGCACACTTAGCCACCTATCTAAATAACCTTAAAACCCAAATACTCTCCTGTTTACCTCACATCCTCCACCATCCTTTCCTATTTATAGTTTATTTTCAGCAAGGAAATGTGCTGTTATGAATAGCAAACACCTGCCACACTATTGGTTGACAAGTCTCTGCAGATGGATTAAGATTTTAACAGAAATGTTATGTAAACCAAGACCCCCTATTCCCTTTTCTCATGTTTCTTTTTCAATTAGGGGGCCAAGGGGTGTTAGAGACGTTGGCCAGCTATTCCTCCTAATGAACAAGAATAGCTAAAATGTAGGAAGAGCTGCTGGAGATCATCTAGCTGATTCCCCGTCTAACCGACTGGGCAGCTGAGGCCTGGAGAGGGGAAGGGAGCCTCCCACTGCCGCTCACTGTGAGGCAGGACCACCTCTGCTGTCGCTTTGGTCAGCACCCTTTCCACACTGGAAGGTACAGCACTCTTGGGGAATACTCAAGAAGATGCCCAAGTCAAAGTGAATTTAAACGATATTTATTTTGTTTAAACGTGCCTACTGGAGCTTTTAGTAAAAGGAATTTATATACAAACCCCAAGATGATGGAGCTGCCAGACAAAAAGAGCTGGAAATGATTTAGCCAACTCTGGATGCTACAATCCACTAGTTCTAAAAACCCAACACATTAGGTGGGAACCCCACGGTTTACAAGCTCTCCCCTGGGCATCATCCCACTTTGCACGATCTCCCTTTGAGGGGGCCGCTGTGATTGCTCTTTAACCAAGGGTGACACCGGGGCTCAGAAAGGAGAAGCAATTAGTTCAAAGTCAAATAGCACCTTCTGAGGCAGAGTTGGACCTAAAACTCAGGTCTTCAAACACCCTGTCGAGGAAGCTTATCACAGCCCCACAGTTGTCCTGGGATCCCAGGAGAGAAGGGCAGGGCCTAGCGGGTGCTGCCCTGGTATCTGGGGACAGAGTGGAGTGCGGGATGTTCAGACTAAACCTGATGTTCTGCGTGTTTCAGTGTCCCCTCCCAGCCAGCAGGCAGAGACCCTGAAAAAAAAGGTTACCGTGGCAACTCGCATTCCTCCTGGGGTGAGTCACGCAAAGAGGAGCCTTCTGTGGGTGGGACTTGGAGGAAGTTTGAAAAGTTGACTCCTTCCCCAGGCACCCCCCTTCCACTCTTCCCTTCCTCCCTCCCTAGGCTCCACGGTGTCGATGTGGCAGCTGAGGGCTACGAGTTAACTCTCTCTTCCCCGACCACTCCCATTCCAAAATTTTTCATCCTCCTACAGATAGGCTTTTGCTTCCAGCAGCCACCGCTCCATCTCCCGCACCACGCTGTCTGGCTGTCTGAGGGGTTGTGGATCCGTTTGAGACTAAAGGCCTTGAACACCCGTGTGTTCTCTCTCATTCTCTGTCTCGCTCGCTCGTCCTGTCGTTCTCTCGCTCTCTCACACACATACATACACACACAATTGAACATACAATTTGAAGGGGCTTGCAGATGCCTTGAAGCCCATTCAAGAGCCAGTCGTGATTCCAGTTTGAGACATTTCTTTCAGTTTCAGATGTCAGGCTCCCAAAGACCATCAAGTCCAACCCTCTTCCTTCACAGATGGGGAAACTAGATCCAGAGGACTCACTTACCTCAGAAAACGTGTGCCTGAAGTCTGTGAAGCAACTTACTTGCTTTTTACTTTATGCTTACTTAGCACTTGGAGTGTTACTGAAATTTAATCCTAGAGAATTTCTGATGAAAACATTTCTCTGTGTCTTCTGCATAGAATACTGTCCTTTCTGGAAGAAAATGTGTGCCTTTCTGTTCCCTTTTGGGCAGACTGGACTTCCTGGGAGACATGCCTCGTCCCAGTGTCCCCGTTTCCCTTGGTGTCCTTCAGGATTCAGGAGACCCACTCATCACCCAGCCAAAGGAGCCCAAGAGGGTAAAGACAGGAAGGGGCTTCTCTACAGAAGACCTAGTACCTTAGATGGCTACTCTCCAGTCCTGCAGGGTTCGGGCTCTCAAAATGCGGAGATGTGAGAGAGTTGCCCCGGGAGCCCCCTGGTCTCGGTTCCCCTTCTCTTCTCGGGCCCATTCCCCACCACACCGAGCCTCCCGTAGACTTGTTGGATGGTACTGGCTGTCCACAGCCTTCAAGCCTACTCTAAGGGCTACTGCCTGAGATACCGTGTTTATACCCCAGGGAACCCAGAATGGGAGCAATGCCTAACCCAGTACTGACTGTCTGATGGTGCTATTTCAGGCCAAATGGCACCAGAAGGGGTGGGTGTGGTTGGGGGGTAGGGAGAGCTTGGTGGGGGGGAATCCGAGGGAAACAGGAGTCTTTCCCCGCTGCTGATTAAATGTTGAAGACTCCCTCTTTGCCTTCCAGACATCGGTTTATCATGCATGCAAAATCCCTTTGGAAAACAGCCCCTGACCAAGAACCAAGCTAGGATGTTCTTTCTCCTGGAATGGGAAGCACAGGAGACTTGGGCTGCCTGTCACCCCTGTGTGAGCAGATCCGATTCCCAGCAAAGGAGGAGGCTGCCACACTGGTAAAGGGAGCAAAGAGGGCAGGCAGGCAGCCTCTGAAACCAGAGGGGCAGACTCAGGGAGAGAAAATACGCCCTCAAACACATAACGAGATTCTTTTCTGCGAAATTCAAGGGGAAATCAGGTTGTATTGAATCCCCTTGAAAAGCAACAGGCAGCGCCCGGTGGCCCCGGTCCTTAAGCGCACAGTGATGGAGCCCAAAGGAGACAGCACCCCATCCCCGGTCCCAGACACCTCCCCAGCACAGCTTCCCCTCCCTTGCACACAAACTGGAGGAGCGACCTCGGGTGTAGGGGCTGGGGAGACCAGCGAAGGGAGAGGCAGGGCGGGGATCGGGCGTACCTGAGCGGCAGGCAGGCAGCGGTGCAGCGCGCCCTGGGCAGTCTGGAGGGCTGCGGGAATGTGCAGAGGTTTAGAGCCAGCAACAGGAAACCGCTCAGAGTTCTGGGCTGGGTCTGCCTCCCCACCGACGCCGAGGTCCCTCCTCCTCCTCTGCCTCCTCCCCCACTCCCCCTTCTCCACACAGCCTAAGCTGTCTGTCTTCCATCTCTCTCTCCTTCTTCTGGAGGTGGGCTGTCCTGACCAGGCACGCCCCCCGCAGCCCTGCGTGCCTCATAGGTTCTGGGGCTGCTGCCTAAACCGACTCCCACAGTGCCAGGGCTGGAAGGGCCTGAGGCAATTGCCTAGTTCAGAAGGGAGCTGAGGCCTGGAGGGGGCAAGGAATACCCGAGGGTCCCCAGGGGCAGAGGCAGGCCCAAGTTTCTAGACTTTATGGCCAGTGATCTTTACAAGAGCCCTTCCTAATGTTAGGCAATGCAGAGAAAGGCAAAGCCATTCGAGGGGGTGTATCTGTGACAAAGGCAAGGCCAGGACTTGCCTCTGTGCAGACAAGAGAGGCTGCCACTGGTGGCACCATCATTGATGATTTGCGATATGCTCTAAAAATAGGCACTCTAACTAGTTGCACCACTATAGACACATAAGAGATCTGTTTCCCAGCTGGGCGATGTGTGCTATTGTTATAGAACAGATAAGGTGACTGATGATACCGATAATAATCACAGAAGTAACAATAGCCAAGGTTTGCTAAGGACTTAATCTTCACAGCAACCCCTTAACTTAGATACTGTTATTATGTCTATTATACCAATAAGGCAATAGAGGCTCAAAGAGCCCAAGACCACCAGCTAAAAGTAGTATAGGCGGGCTGATTCTACATTCAGCTTGATTCACTCTTATGCTACAGAGAACTTGGCAACAGGTCTTAGTTGAATATTTATGAGAATATTGGTGAGCAAATGAATATTTACGAGTGCATGTCTAGCACTTCAAGAGGCATGAGAATTAATATCTAGCCCGTGTCCTCAAGGAGATTTGAATCCCACTGGGAGGGCATGCCTTAGACATATACCCAGTCCCCTGAGTGGTACAGACCCTGAGGTTTATCCTAGGGGTTCGGAATGGCAGGATCTCTGGATTGGAGCAGGCAGAGAAATCTTCCTGAAATAGGTGATCTTGAAGCATGAATTGAGTTTGAATGGCACAGAAAGGGGATAGGGAGAGAACGTACTTGTAAATTTCTACATAATAGAGACTGCCATTCTGGCCTCCTCTCCTCCTGCCGCTCTTCCCCTTAGGGCTTGCTGCACTCCTTTCAGTTGCTCAGGGGCCCCACCCCAGGACCTCTGCACAGGCTCTTACTTCTGTGGGGCACATTCTTCCCTCTGATTTTCCTATGCCTGCAGTTTTCTCATCCTTGCGGTTTCTGTGCTAATGCCATCTCCTAAGACAGGACCTCCCTGGCCACCAACTTAAATCAGTTTCCTTGTGTCTCTTAGAGGCAGAGTTCACCATTTCACACTGTCTTATTTCCTTCCTACCACTTGTCATGGTCAGAAACTATGTCTGCCCTCACTGGGCAGATACTCCATGAAAGCAAGGGCTTCGTGTGTCTTGTTCCCTGCTGTGCTCTGAGTGCCCAGAACAGTGGCCCACACCAATCTGGCTCTCAGTGGGAGCTGTCTTTAAATAGGGTTCCAGCATGGAGTAGTGCCCTATGTTAGTCCTTAAGGGATCCTCAAATCTGCAAAAACTGAATGTAGAAGTTTGGCTGTCTGCATTTCTTTTTGCAGAGAAGGTCCATGACTTCCTTCATATTGTCAAAGGCACTAGTCAGGAACCCAAGAGAGGACCTCTGCTGCAGATGATCTCCAAGGCCTCTTCCTGGTCCCAGAGTCAGGAGCTGACGCTCTGCCTTGGCTGTGCAGCACAGGAGCTGGCAGATTCTTCAGATATCTGTTTTGCTGTCTGGACAGATGTATATTTTTGTAAGATTGGTTGCTATAGTGCCCAATTATCATACGGACTAAAATTAACTTATACTTTGTGTTTTTCTTCATAAACTAAGATGATGATTCCATGAGAATGAGACATTGGGACCATTCCCAGTGTTTGGCTAGAGTTCCCATGCATCCTTTGGTTCAGAAATTGGAAAACCGGTTGGGGACAGAGATTCCAATTGGGAGCCACTCCCAGGCCCCTGGGGGAGACCCTAAGCCAGGATACCTCAGAGGAAAACTTGGTAGGTTTTTATCTAGGGGTAAGGGCAAGGATGACTTTGATCTAGGAAGGGAGACCTGGAGGACTAGGCTGGTCCTCCTCCCACCACCAAGGGCTTTCCAGGAAAGGAAAGAGTGCACTGGGCCAGGCACGGGAAGACCTGGGTGTGAATCTCCTCCCTGCCACGGAGTCAGTGAGTGACTTGGGCTCACCTCTGCCCCAGTATGAGCTGCATCTTTTCTACTTGTAAATAGATTGGACAGCATAATAGTAGTAATGAGAACAAGAATTTATTAAATACCTACTGTGCACCAAGCACCGAGCTAAGAGCTAAGTCCCTTATATATATTTTCTGATCTAACCTTTACAAAATAGGAACTTATCATCCCCATTTTATAGATGTGGAAAATTAAGTTTGGACCAGTCATTTGCCCAGGCTCATGCACCAAGTGCATGGCTAATCAGAGACTCAAGCACAAGTTTAAGGGGAACCAGAGCCCAAGTGCTTACCCCCTCCTGAACTCCCCCCAGCTCTGACATCTGTGGGCTCTAGACTACATAGCCGTTTGGTTACCCTCTCCTTAGCTGAGTATGCTGCTGCCCCAGCATCAGACTGGATCAGCTCTTCAGCTTGCAAAATGAGACATCTGGGTCTTGGGGTCCCTGCTGCCTGCCCACCACTCCATCCAGCCTCCCTCCAGCTGTGCTCCTCCAGGCACCACCCACTCTACCTTGATGCTGCCCTTCCTGACCCTACACCCAGCTCAGCCTTAGAACTCAGGGTGCTTGACTGCCCACTGCCTTGGGAATGCCCACAGCTGCATGGTGTCCAGGCTCCCTGCACCTCCAGGAACTTCAGCTTCCTCTGTCATCCATTCATTGACTCTGTGCACTGGGGATATAGAAATAAGAAGACAGATACTCTGCACTTCACATGCTAGTAGCTGGAGGTGGGCAGTAAACTAGTTTCAGGTTGTGATCGATTCTATGAATAAAATGAACAAGATGAACTAAAAAAGTAATGGGGGATAACTTTAGGTAGGGTAGTCAGGGTAGACTTCTTGAAGGAGGCAAATTCTGAGAAAAAAAAATTGAATAGTGAGTCAGTGAGAAGGGCTGCAGGAGGGACGTTCCAGGCAAGGGGAGAGTGAGGCAAAGACCCTGGGTAGGGAGAGCTTGGCTTCAAGCGACCGAAAGCAGGCCTAGAGCTGGAATCCCCTTGTCTTCCTGTTCCTCCTCTTCCTCTTCTTTCCTACCACTTTTACACCCTCTAGCCATTCCAGAGTACTTCCTTGTCTGCTATCTCAGTGAACTACAGAGCCGCCTGGTGAGGGAGTCAGGGTGGGGCTTAGAATCTATACTGTACACAGGGGGGAACTGAGGCCCCAACCACACTTGCAGCTGGGGCTCAGAACCAGGTGTCCTGACCCCTGGCTCAGAGGTAGCTTCTCAGCCCCACTGAGAACCTGCTTGTCTTTCTGCTCAGAAACTCAGGAGTCTCTGTCACCTGAACCGCCTGACAGGGCCGGCCATGTCTGGGAGCTGGACTAGGGCCTGGTAGGCAGTGGGGTCCCCATGTACAGGCAGGAACGCCTGGACAGGGAGCCGGAGGCCTGAGCTCTAGAAATTGATCAGGGAGGCCCTATTGATTCGGCTTCTGGGAAGGTGGAAAGTGACCTGTCCACTGCTTTATTTATCTAAGCAGAGAGTTAGATAAATAAAGCAGTGCCAAGAAACATCTCTTAAGGCCTTACACCAGAAAGTGACAGCATCTCAGTGGTTCATATCTCCAGTTGTAAATCCTGCACAGGCCTGGCAGGTAATAAACTTGATGAATTTTGCATGTGGGAACTTGAGGGCCCATTGGGGACCATTAGGACATGTTGGGACAATGATGACTAAACCAGAAAGAGAGATAATAATATCCAGTATCATTGAGCAGACACAGGGCAAAACACGACGTCCATTATCCCATTTAATCTTCACTTAATATATATACGTAGGTACTTTATTAATTTTGATTATTCCTATAATAAGTTACCACAAACTTGGGCTAAAGATTATCAAAACGCTGAAATGCACCCTTTGTGTGTTTGGCTCACAGTCAAGGCTGCTGGCTAAGAGGGCGGGAGCTCAGGGAGACTGACTCTGCTAGTCGTCTTGTTACTCTATCTTTCTCCAGTCAGGCCCGCCCATTGGCTGAAGGGCACAGAGACCCCATTGTCCTCTGGTCCCCTGGGCAGAGTGCTCTGGCCCGAGCAAGGTCAGGCAGAGGCTGAAATCTGCCTGCAGCACCCTCCCCATGTACGGCATCCCCACTGAGCTGCCTCGGATTTGTCCCTCAGCTCTTTACAGTTCACGAAGGAGTGTTACACCTCTAATCTTAGTGAGCGGCACCATTAATCTGTTAGGTAGAAAAGTAGGACTCACCAAGCACATTTTGTACTTAAGCGCGTCCCTTGGGGACTTGCCCAGGGTCACACAGCTGGCCTGTGACAGAGCTGAAGTGAAAACTCCACACCTAACTCTCCACCCAAGACTTTTTCCCCCACACCAGCTGCCTCCACCCAGTGATCCAGTGAGCTTTTCTCTCCATGAAGAGCCCCTTCTGCACCGACAGGATCAATGGCTAACAACGTGTTGGCTGCCTTCTCACACTGACACAAACCCATACAAGGTGAAGTGTAGATTTGAGTTCCAATTGGATTTTGCTCTTAGTAGGACTTGTGCCCGAAGGCTCTACCCACAGGCTGTCCTTGAGCAGTTCACCTCTGCTCTCTATGAAATTACCATGATTATAATACTTGACCCTCCCAATTACACTTGACACAGTCAGGCTAAGTAAGATTTGAGTGGGTGTGGGTGTTAGAGAGTCAGTAAATGCAAGAACAAAGTTAAATGCCCAGCGTTAGAGGCAGATCT